TTTGTGTGTGTGTATGACAGAGTGCTTTGTGTGTGTGTATGGCAGAGTGCTTTGTGTATGTGTGTGTGTGTTTGACAGAGTGCTTTGTGGTTGTGTGTGTGTGTATATATGACAGAGTGCTTTGTGTGTGTGTGTGTATGACAGAGTGCTTTGTGTGTGTGTGTGTGTGTGTGTGTGTGTATGACAGAGTGCTTTTTGTGTGTGTGTTTATGTGGATGACAGAGTGCTTTGTGTGTGTTTATGTGTATGACAGAGTGCTTTGTGTGTGTGTGTGTATGTGTTTATGTGTATGACAGAGTGCTTTGTGTGTTTTTATGTGTATGACAGGGTGCTTTTTGTTTGTGTGCATGTATGTGTGTGTATGCCAGATTGCTTTGTGTGTGCGTGTGTGTGTGTTTATGTGTATGACAGAGTGCTTTGTGTGTATTACATACGGCTTTGTGTGTGTGTTTGTGTGTGTGTGTGTGTGTGTGTATGACAGAGGGCTTTGTGTGTGTGTATGACATAGTGCTTTGTGTGTGTATGTATGAAAGAATGTGTGTGTATGAGAGAGTGATTTGTGTGTGTGTGTGTGTGTGTATGACAAAGTGCTTTGTGTGTGTGTGTGTGTGTGTGACAAAGTGCTTTGTGTGTGTGTATGACAAAGTGCTGTGTGTGTGTATGACAAAGTGCTTTGTGTGTGTGTGTATGACAAAGTGCTTTGTGTGTGTGTGTGTGCCAGAGTGCTTTGTGTGTGTGTGTGCCAGAGTGCTTTGTGTGTGTGACAAAGTGCTTTATGTGTGTCTGACATAGTGCTTTGTGTGTGTATGACAAAGTGCTTTGTGTGTGTGTGTGACAGAGTGCTTTGTGTGTGTGTGTGTATGTGTGTGACAGAGTGCTTTATGTGTGTCTGACAGAGTGCTTTGTGTGTGTATGACAAAGTGCTTTGTGTATGTCTGACATAGTGCTTTCTGTGTGTCTGACAGAGTGCTTTGTGTGTGTGACAGAGTGCTTTGTGTGTGTGACAAAGTGCTTTGTGTGTGTGACAGAGTGCTTTGTGTGTGTGTGTGTGACAAAGTGCTGTGTGTGTGTGACAGAGTGCTTTGTGTGTGTGTGTGACAAAGTGCTTTGTGTGTGTGACAAAGTGCTTTGTGTGTATGACAAAGTGCTTTGTGTGTATGACAAAGTGCTTTGTGTGTGTGGCAGAGTGCTTTTTGTGTGTGTGATAGAGTGCTTTGTGTGTGTGTGTGACAGAGTGCTTTGTGTGTGTGACAAAGTGCTTTGTGTGTGTGACAGAGTGCTTTGTGTGTGTGTGTGTGACAAAGTGCTGTGTGTGTGTGACAGAGTGCTTTGTGTGTGTGTGTGACAAAGTGCTTTGTGTGTGTGACAAAGTGCTTTGTGTGTATGACAAAGTGCTTTGTGTGTATGACAAAGTGCTTTGTGTGTGTGGCAGAGTGCTTTTTGTGTGTGTGATAGAGTGCTTTGTGTGTGTGTGTGACAGAGTGCTTTGTGTGTGTGACAAAGTGCTTTGTGTGTGTGACTGAGTGCTTTGTGTGTGTGTGACAGAGTGCTTTGTGTGTGTGTGTGACAGAGTGCTTTGTGCGTGTGTGACAGAGTGCTTTGTGTGTGTGTGACAGAGTGCTTTGTGTGTGTGTGTGACAGAGTGCTTTGTGTGTGTGTGCGTTTGTGACAAAGTGCTCTCAATGTGTGTATGAAAGAGGTTTCCAGCCCTGTGGCAGGGGGGACAGTTTGTCGGCTAAAGCAGCCAGGTGTTGTCGCGGCTGTCTGGGCCGATGGCGGATGTCTGATGGGCGGTGGGCGATGGCGGATGTCTAATGGCGCTAGCTTGCCTACCTCGAGGCGTGCCACTGCGGTGTTGAGATGGCGAATTGTTTGTTACTTCCTGTTACTTAAATGTAAATGCTTTTGCCACATTGCACAGCCGCTCCTTTAGAGCAGGTGTCTATAGGAAGTCTCCGTCTGGTGGGGGGGACAACCTGGCAGGCCAGGCGGACCGGCCAATACACTGAGGGCCGGTGAAGGTTGCCCTCTCTCACCCCTAACCCTCTCTCACCCCTACCCTCTCTCACCCCTCTCTCATCCCTCTCTCACCCCTCTCTCATCCCTCTCTCACCCCTCTCTCATCCCTCTCTCACCCCTAACCCTCTCTCACCCCTACCCTCTTTCACCCCTCTCTCACCCCTACCATCTCTCACCACTGCCCTCTCTCACCCCTACCCTCTCTCACCCCTACCCTCTCTCACCCCTCTCTCACCCTTACCCTCTCTCACCCCTGCCCTGTGGACTCTGGCTCCTCTCTAGGTTTTCCAGCTTGTCATGTAAGAATGTTCTCTGTGCAGGGTGAAGGTTCCCAAGCGGTCACAAAGTCACAGCCAGAAGGTGCAAGCCATGGGCGTGTTTGCCGGGGCCCGGGTGTGTCGAGGCCCAGACTGGGACTGGGGAAATCAAGATGGTAAACTGGCAGCAGATTTTGCTTTGTTTAGTTTTCCTTGAGTTCACTGAGGCATGGCCTATAGGGAGTCGTGGTGGTCGCTCTGTATGGGCGTTGTGTGTGTTTGTGTGTGTGTGTTGTGTGTGTGTTTGTTTGTGAGTGTTGTGTGTGTTTGGTTGTGTGTGTTTGTTTGTGTGTGTGTTTGTGTGTGTTGTGTGTGTTTGTTTGTGTGTGTTGTGAGTTTTGTGTGTGTGTTGTGAGTGTTGTGTGTGTTGCGTGTGTGTTTGTTTGTGTGTGTTGTGTGTGTGTTTGTTTGTGTGTGTTGTGTGTGTTGTGTGTGTGTTTGTTTGTGTGTGTTGTGAGTGTTGTTTGTGTGTGTGTTTGTTTGTGTGTGTTGTGTGTGTTTGTTTGTGAGTGTTGTGTGTGTGTGTGTTTGTTTGTGTGTGTTGTGAGTGTTGTGTGTGTGTTGTGAGTGTTGTGTGTGTGTTGTGTTTGTTTGTTTGTGTTTGTTTGTGTGTGTTGTGAGTGTTGTTTGTGTGTGTGTTTGTTTGTGTGTGTTGTGTGTGTTTGTTTGTGAGTGTTGTGTGTGTGTGTGTTTGTTTGTGTGTGTTGTGAGTGTTGTGTGTGTGTTGTGAGTGTTGTGTGTGTGTTGTGTTTGTTTGTTTGTGTTTGTTTGTGTGTGTTGTGAGTGTTGTTTGTGTGTGTGTTTGTGTGTGTTTGTTTGTGTGTGTTGTGTGTGTTTGTTTGTGTGTGTTGTGAGTGTTGTTTTGTGTGTGTTGTGAGTGCTGTGTGTGTGTGTTTGTTTGTGTGTGTTGTGTGTGTTTGTTTGTGTGTGTTGTGTGTGTTTGTTTGTGTGTGTT